AAAATACGACAGAGGTGATGGGCTATCACTCTTATGATTAAGTTCCATTGCGGAGGACTGTGTCTTAGCTGACTAGTGAGAGAGTCTCCTGCTGGCCTTGGACAAGTAAGCCGCCATGCTGTGAGACAGTGATCTGGCAGGGAGCCATGAGTAACTTCTAAGACCTGGAGTGGTCCTTGGTTGAAAGCCAGCAAGCAAGAAAGCAGGGTTCTCAGTACCATGACGATAAGAAATCGAATTCTGCCAATTACCATGTGAGTTTAGAAGAGAACTCAAGCTCCAGAAAGAAATGCAGTGTGGCCAACCCCCAAGTGGTAGCCTTGCAAGAGGTGAGCAGAGGACCCAGCTAAGCCAGGCCCAGACTCCTGATCCACAGAGACTGTGAGATAATGCGTGTGTGCTGTTTTAAGCCACGGAGTTTGTGGTGATTTGTTATGCAGCAATAGACGGCTATGACATACCCCTAAGACCCCAAGTCTGATGAGGCAATGGGAGAGAGCAGTTACCAGAACCCAAAGGATGGGCAGTCTAGCCAGAGCTGTGGCCTTTGGGAGGCACAGCCAACCTGTGGCAGCCTGGGTGGGAGGGAGCTAGGGAAGGAGGTCTCTAACCTCCCCTTCACCCTGTTCTCCGGCCCTTATCAGTGCTCCCGCTAGAAAACCCAGACAGAGGAGGCAGAGAAGCAACTGGCTTCTAGAGTCCTACACGGCAGCTTCTCAGGGCATAGTGCAGGGTGCAGGGGAGTGCACAGCAGATTTGGAGGGGCAAATGATACATACATCTAGTACCTGTGTATTCTCAGACAAGAAACAAGAAAAATAAGCTTTCTTTCAAATACATTCAATGTTTGACAGTAGAGTAGAAAGACTATACTTAATAAAAATGTATTGTACTTGGATAATGGACAGCATGAATATTCTGACTTGATCAGTATGCATTATATACATGCAACAAAATTTCACATGTATCCATAAAGTTGGTACAATTATTTATTTTTATATATTTATTTATTTATTGACTCAGAGTCTTGCTCTGTTGCCAAGGCCCAGGCTAGAGTGCAGTGGTGAGATCTTGGCTCATTGCAACCTCCGCCTCCCAGGTTCAAGTGATTCTTGTGACTCAGCCTCCAGAGGAGATGGGACTACAGGCTCACATCACCACGCCAGGCTAATTTTTGTATTTTTAGTAGAGACTGGGTTTCACCGTGTTGGCCAGGCTGGTCTTGAACTCCTGACCTCAAGTGATCCACACACCTAGGCTTCCCAGAATGCTGAGATGACAGGTGTGAGCCACCATGCCTGGCCCGTAAGTTTGTGCAAATTTAAAAAGAAAAAGTGAAAAAGAGTTTTCTTTCATCTTGTTATCTATATAAATGGACAGCAAAAAGGAAAAGAAATAATAATTGAGGTTTAGGTTTCCACAGTGGAACTAAATAAAAGTATCCTATAAACTAAAATGACTTAAATCTTGACTTTCTCCCTTGATAAGTAGGCTAATCAAAGCACATCTGGACATAAGTTGCTGTACTCCAGAGGCCCCTGTACTATAATTACACTTTAGGCCCCGGCATTTTTCAAGGTCTAGAGAGAGACAATTCATATACTAAGGCTGGCCATATAAGAATTAGATGAGATATGCACATTAAAGAAAAAAAAAGGTTGGCCATAAATCAGACAGCACTGTAGTTACCGGGTAGATGAATGGTCCCTAGAGAACAGTTTTGCTGTTAGTTTTTCCTAGTCATTCCTTAAAAGATATAATTTATTCTCTGCTATCATAAGAAATGGATTAGTTCAAATACCTGTGTCTGCTTTTATAGCTATACAGTTAAGGATCTGCATTCATTTGCTCTGGCTGCTTTAACACGGTACCAACAACTGGGTGGCTTACACAAATGAAATGTATTGTCTCACAGTTCTGGAGGCTGGAAGTCCAAGATCAAGGTGTCAGCATGGCTGAGGTTGGTTGGTTGTTTTTTTAGACAGGATCTTGCTCTGTTGGCCAGGCTGGAGTTCGGTGACACAGTCATGACTCACTGCAACCCTCACTTCCTGGGCTCAAGCAATCCTCTCAGGCTCGTGAGTAGCCAAGACCAGGGACCATAGGCATGCATCGCCTCACCAAGCAAAATTTTTATTTTTGTACTAATTTTTCAATGTTTTGTAGAAACAGAGTCTTGCTTTATTGCCCAGGCTGGTCTCAAACTCCCAGGCTCAAGCGGTCGTCCTGCCTTGGCCTTCCAAAGTGCTAAGTTACAGGTGTGAGCCACCACACTGACCAGGGTTGGTTTTGTTTTCCTGGTTGGTTGGTTCTGTTGGTTTCGAGACAGGGTCTTACTCTGTTGCTCAGGCTGGGGTGCAGTGACACAGTCACAGCTGACTGCAGCCTTGACCTCCCAGGCTTAAGCAATCCTCCTACCTCAGCCTCCTGAGTAGCTGGGACCACAGGTGAGCACCCCTCATGCCTGGCTAATTTTTAAAAAATTTGTATGGCCGGGCGCGGTGGCTCAAGCCTGTAATCCCAGCACTTTGGGAGGCCGACGCGGGTGGATCACGAGGTCAAGAGATCGAGACTATCCTGGTCAATATGGTGAAACCCCGTCTCTACTAAAAATACAAAAAATTAGCTGGGCATGGTGGCGCGTGCCTGTAATCCCAGCGACTCAGGAGGCTGAGGCAGGAGAATTGCCTGAACCCGGGAGGCGGAGGTTGCGGTGAGCCGAGATCCCGCCATTGCACTCCAGCCTGGGTAACAA